ACGAGTATTAGCAGTGTCTTAAGCTGCCGGATTGTGGGACTTGGTCGTGGCATCTGAGGTAGCTAACACAGCAGTCTTCTGAGTTTGAGAAGAAGACACACTTAAGAACTAACATGGGAGAGGGAGAGGGGAGAGGAAAGAATGAGACCTTTTCTAGAACAGTCACAGCCATCCTCTGTTCTTGGAGAACTTCTACGGCAGGGCACTTGCAGGCATGTGTCCAGGTTACCTTCTGGTCATAGTTGTCTGCTGGGATGTCTTCTACCCCTCCAGCAAATCTCATAGACACCTTGAAAGTATGGTTTTATATACAATGGATGTAAATTTTTGTTGTTTCTTGTTTTAAGACAGGATTTGTCTGTGTAGCTCTGGGTGTCCTAGAACTCACTCTGTAGACCTATCTGACCTTGAACTCACAGAAATCCATCTGCCTCTGCCTCCTGGGTGTTGGGATTAAAGGTGTGTGCTCCCACTGCCTGGTTTAAAGCAAGCTTTTTTATTCCAATATAGGCCACATCCACCTAAGGTGGAGTTCAAGAGGTCAGCAAAGAGGAAGACAGGTTTTTTTTGTTTTGTTTTGTCTCCCCCCCCCCCACACACAGGGTTTCTCTGTGTAGCTTTTGGTGCCTGTCCTGGAACTTGCTCTGTAGACCAGGCTGGCCTGGAACTCATAGATATCAGCCTGCCTCTGACTCAGGAGTGCTGGGATTAAAGGCATGTGCCACCACCACCTGGCTGGAAGACAGGGTTTTTATAGCTCAAGGGTAGAGACTTTCTAAATGAGAGATTTGGCTGGCAAAATAGGCTGGGCAGAACATAAGCATAACGAGTTAGGAATAATGACCTCTTAAAACTAAGACATGACTGCAAGGTGGTTCTAACAAGGTAGTCATAATAACCTTTTGAAACAAAGGTAGAGCTGCAAGATGGTTCTAACAACTTTTTGAAACAAAGACATGGTTGCTGTTTCCTGGAACAGTCAGTACAGAACCATTTGTAGTTAAGGTTACAGGTTGGGGCATGGTCCAATCCTTGAGAAATAGAGATTTAATCATAAATGGAATGAGCATAGTTTGTATTTACTATAAGATGGCTTTTAAGCCTAAAATGGAGGTAGGCTGGTTCATCATGTGGTGATACACAACTTTAATTCCAGCTATGGGAGGCAAAAGCAGGCAGATTTCTGAGTTCTAGGCCAGCCTAGTCTACATAGCAAGTTCTAGGACAAACACAGCTGCATGATGAGACAGATGTCTCTCTCTCACACACAAAAAGATAAATTTGTGACTGCTTGTATGTCTGTGCACCACATGTGTGGTTAGTGCCCTCAGAGGCCAAAAGAGGCATCCGATCTCGTAGATCTAGACGAGCTAGTTATAAACAATTGAGAGCTGCCATATGGATGCTGGATCAAACCCCATTGTTCTGGAAGAACAGTCAGTGCTCTTAACCACTGAGCCATATCTCCAGCCTATCCCATTTTGAAGATGATTGTTCTATTTATTTTCTTGCTTCTTCCTTTAAGTTTCCCAACACAGAGATATGGTATACCTTACTGACACATCTTATACAAAGTAATACATATAATGTATTTTTTCCCCAGTGATAAGAATGAACCTACAGCCTTGGTACATGTTACATAAGGGTTCCACCATTGAGCTACACCCCCAGCAAAGTGCAACTTTAACAATAAAAATAGGCCGGGAGGTGGTGGTGGATGCCTTTAATCCCAGCACTGGAAGCAGAGGCAGGCAGATTTCTGTGAGTTTGAGGCCAGCCTGGTCTACAGAGCGAATTCCAGAACAGCCAGGGATGTTACACAGAGAAACCTTGTCTTGAAAAACAAACAAACAAACAAACACCCAAAACGTAAAACTAAGCAAACAAAAAAAAAAAACCCAGTAAAAATACCAATCCCCAAAGAAATACTGTTTAAAATTTCAAACTGAGCTGGAGATGCAGCTCAGTGGTGGGCAGTTTCCTAACATGCACAAAGTCCTTCATTTGGTCCTCAGCACTGACTGAAAAGAAAACAAGCCCTAGATAAACAACCCCAAAGAACTTAAGACTCAGCTTTCATAAAGGAGGACAACAGTCACAGTGGACCTGGAGAGAGCCCTTTGGATGTTTTCATAGCTGCTAATAGCAAAGCAAAGATTGCACTCTTAAGAAAGACACTCAGTGGCATCTATAGGTCATCAATTGGAAAGGACGGATCTGGACTATAAATTTGTATGGAGTCACTGTTCTTCTAGACGCTTGGAGAATCATTCTTGCTTATTGTTTCCTGAGATGTTTTTTCTGTGTTGCCAGTAATGTACTTTCCCCGGTACTCCAACACATAAAATATATATGTACATACTTACTTATGTATGATTAAGAGAGTACTAGCTGTGCCCTGAAAGAGTGCAGTAGTGTAGAAAAATGTGGTATAGAAATGAAAAGACCTTTGTAATGCAGTTCTTTAGAGGTAGTTGCTATAGTTATTTCATACTTGTTATATCTTTTAAATGGTGCATATTTTACATTCTTTTTTTTTTTGAGTCTTATTATGTAACCGCAACTGGCCTTAGATTCACAGAGATCTTCCCGTCTCTGCCTTGTGAGTGTGCTGGGATTAGAGGCATGCATCATCGTATCTGGCCTAATTATTCAGAAAAGTTATATGGGTGCCACTACACCCAGCTTCCTTCTTGTCTTTATGATGGTCCACGTTGAGAAAATAGCTTCTTTCTGCATTTTTGCCATTCTGGTCACAGAGAGGTATAATTTGCATGACTGATACGAAAAACCTTTATTGTACTGAGTAAATTCCTCAAATACTTCAGAGTCAGTCACTTTTTGTCACAATAAAAAGATATTTGGAAACAATTTCAGGGAGGTGGCTTTATTTAGGTTCTCAGTTTTGGAAGTGTCAGTTCATGGCTGGCTGGCTTCCTTGTTGTAGGCCTGTCATGAGGAAGAACATTATAGGACAGGTCGAACAAAGAGAGGAGGAGAGGGTCAAAACAGATTTACAAGGGTGCCCCCAGTGATTTACTTAATCCAGCCAACACCCCCATACTAAGTTTCATCACCTCCAAAAATGCCATCCAAGTATGAGTCCACCAAAGCACCGGTCCGGTCACTTTACCAAAGCCCTTTCCTCTGAACATTGTGTCGGGAGCAAGTCTTCAATGCCTGAGTTTTGGGGAGACATCTCATTCAAACCATAGCACCTTTATCAGAATCCTGGGTTATATTTGATTTGTTTGCTCATGGCAACTTTATGCTAATGAATCCGCTATTAGTCTTAAGACAAACCCTGATAATGTGCATGGTGGGAGGATCTCTGTGAGTTTGAGCTAGGCCTAGTCTACATAGGAAATACAGGTCATTAGGGGCTACATACTGAGACACTGTCTTAAAAACAAACAACCCCCCCAAACAAACAAAAATGAAAAAACCAGACCCTGACTAACCGTATGCTTATACTAACTACGGAATAAAGATGAAGTCAGCATTCACCTTCATCATCTTTGACCCTTCCTCCTTCTGGAAGCATTGCTGCTCAGATCTCGAGTTCTGTTCTACATACTCTACATAGTCTGTTCCAGGTCTGTTCTGCTTCCTTGTAACTCTCCAGTAGTAGTAACTAGTAATATACATAATTCTGCCAAGGAATCAGGAACTCAAGACCAGCTCAGAAACATGGGGTTCTACCTGGGCTATATGGCAAGGCTGTGTCTCAAAACAAAACAGAAAACTATGACGTTCTATAGCTTTGTACATGTGATACTCACAGAAGAGAAGCGATGAGTATTCTAGTCTCAGTACAGGGGACTAATATTTGGAAAAAAAACCAAGTTTTGTCTTTTTCCCCAAAATAATATTTGTTGCAACACATGTAAAAATAGAAACCACACACCAGAACAACATAGGAAATTTCATGTTTCCAACAATAGAAACTATGTTCAATTGTGCAAAGCATCCATGTTTTGGGCGGTGATGCTTTTGCCATTTTTAATGACACAATTGAGAAATGTATATTCAAGGATGGTAACTATAAACAAAGTTATAATTCTGAATCTTGTATTTTTAAATTGATTTAATAAAAAATGTGTATGTGTGGTGTTTTGTGTGCATATATGTCTGTGTATCATGTGTGTACCTGCTGTCCATGGAGGCCAGAAGAGCCTGACAGATCCCTTGAAACTTAAGTTACAGACAGTTGTGAGCCGTCATGTGGGTGCTGGATTGAACGTGGGTCCTCTGGAAGAGTAGCAAATGCTTTTAAGCCTTGAGTCAACTATCCAGCCCCCCTCTTATCTTTTTAAGATTTGTATGTGTATGTGAGTAAGTGCCAGAGGCCAAAAGTATTGGATTCCTTCAGAACTGGAGTTATAGGCAGTTGTGAACTGTCTTATCTGAGTGCTGGGCATGGAACTGAAATCTACAAAAGCAGCACAGGATCTTAACTGCTAAGCCATCTTTTCAGCCTCTGTGTTATTATTTTGAGATAAGGTTTAATGTAGCCTAGGCTAGCTTGCTATCTACTACATAACTAGAGATGCCCTTGAACTACTGATTCTCCTGCTTCCTCCTAAGGACTGGGTTATAGGTTTATACCATCAAGCCTATTTATTTTTGAGCTTGATTTTACAATTTGTTTTTTAATTTTAAGTCCTATTATCAACTTGCTCTTTTGCTTTAATTTGTGAATTATCTTACTCCTAGTTCAAATTTCTATCATCATGATTGTTATTATTTTTTTTGGGGGGGACAAAGTTTCTCTGTAACTTTATATACCTCAAACTCACAGAGATCCACCTGCCTCGGCCTCCCAGTGCTGAAACTAAAAGCATGTGCCACCACTGCCAGGCTTTTC